CTTTTTGCTTGTGTGGTTCTGAGGAATGGAACCCAGGGCCTCATGCGTGCAAGGCAAGCGCTCTACCAATGAGCCACCTTCCCAGCCCCTCCAGAACTGTTCCTAACAGTGTCTATTCAAACTATTTTATATAATTATATATTATATGTATAATTATATATTATATAATTACACATATATAATTACATAACTATTATGTAATATTATGTAATATATGTTATATATTATATAATCATATAATTAACTATTATATTATTATAGCAGTTGTGCTATATAGAATGCAATGTTTTGTATTATATGTTAAATATATTATACAATTAAGCATAGAACCACTAGAAATCTTTATTTTTTTTGTCGGTCGTGGAGCTTGAACTGTGGGCATTGGCGCCGTCCTTGCAGCTCATTGCAAACACTCTACTATTGAGCCATGATGCCACTTCTAGTTTTCTGGTGGTTTATTGGAGATGATAGTCTCAAGGACTTCCCTGCCTGGCTGGCTTCGAACTGTGCTCCTCAGAATCCAGCCTACTGAGTAGCTAGGATTACAGGTGTGAGCTACTGGCACCTGACTGGAAATCTTTCCGTATATTTTCTCTAGATGCAATGTTTCTTTAACATGTGATAGATCCTTAGGTTTCTGTCTCTCAGCTGGTATGCACAGTATGCCACATTTGGTTGACAGAATACTCAATCATCTTGTCTTTTTTTCCCTGTAAAATGACCCTTCAGTCCATCTCATTTTCCCTCCACACCAGTCCTACCCTGAAAATTTTCTGGCTGCTCTCTCTGATGATAAGATTTTCCTTTCTACGAGGTACTGCCAGAATGATCTTCATAAAGTACTACTTGTGTTATAAAATCCTTGGCTTCAGAAACCAAGAATCTTCAGTAATGATGGCAGTGATGTCTCCTTAACATTTTTATAATCTGAGGCATATTTCTAATCACCCATTTTATTCATTTTATTTTTTCATTGTGATGATGGAGATCAACAGATTATCTATTTTAATTTTCCACTTTACCTTTAGTGTTCTGTTGTTTCTTTTTGGGAGGGAGGGGGGTCCGGTCGTGGGGCCTGAACTCTGGGCCTGGGCACTGTCCCTCAGCTCTTCAGATCAAGGCTAGAGCTCTACCACTTGAGCCATAGTGCCACTTTCAGCTTTTTTCCTTTTGCTTATGTGGTGCTGAGGAATCGAACCCAGGGCCCTCATGCATGCAAGGCAAGCGCTCTACCACTGAGCCATCTTCCCAGCCCTTCTGTTGTTTCTTCTACCACCATATCTATTATGCTTTTTACCTACTCAGACCCCTTTTTTCCTCTTCCTTTCCTTTAGTAATGGTTTTGGTTACAAGAACAAACCTTACCCAACATAAGTAAAAAAATCTTTGAGTGAATAATGCAGGATATATCACTGTGTCAAAATAAAAGAAGTGCAGCTCAGTTGCCCAAAAGTGGAACACTAGAAACCAATGCATAGCTAAAACATCTCCTCTCACTTTGAGGCTGGTGCTTTTTTATTCTGAATTGCTATTTTTCTTTTTCAGGCTGTGCTCAATTCTAAGGCCTTCTACATGGTATGCATGCACTGTATCATTGAGCTATATCCCCAGTTGTTTTTTTTTTTCTATGTGAATCACCTTGCAACTATTTCTGCTCAGAGTCCAATAACAATCAGACAGTTCAAGCACAGAGTTAAGATTGACCAGCTATCCTGGTGTTCTAATAAAAATTATTGGGAAAGAGATGGATGAGATTCCATCTTTGCTGAATCACCTTGGCCTGGAGATAGGTGTCGCTTGATCCTCTGCCCAGTCAACTGGACTAAAAATTTAGGAGGGAGTGAGCTTGAAGAAGGAACATGGGAAATTCCCTGAAAAGGGTATTGGACTCCAGGAAAGGAAGTGATAGGCATGTCTTACTGAAACTTGAGCCCATATTAACATTACTTGAACTGTAAACTATTTTATATATTATTTTCCAAACTTAAGCCTATAGTCTCCATAACTGAAAAGTAGAAACAAGTAATTGTTTATTCATAGGAATACTATCCATTCCTTAATATCTATGGACCCTCATGTTATAGTAGGTTTTAACTGGAAGATAATGGAAAGAATGAAAATATATTGTCTGAATTTTTTTCTTTCCAGATTTTCCTGAAAACATGGACTGCCAAGAGAGAAATGGGACATAAAACTAAGTACATTATTTTAGATTTAAGATTTGTAAGTTGGCATTTCATTGCAATGGCTGAATTCAGATGTACTCTACATTGTTTAAAGAACTGAGATTGATTTTATATAGATTAGAATGATTATGATCTTTGCTTTGAAAATTTTTCTGCAGTATTTGCACTAAAAATGCCTATTTATCATTGATAAATCCTGTCCTATTTAAATTTCACTGCTATTCTTATAATTAAATACCTTATGCATGTAATTTTAGTTTTAATATTTTATAAAAACTACTTAAACTTGTAGTTTTAATTTGAAACTGCCTCATTTCTTTATCAAGAATGGTATCTTATTTAGATTTTTTTCCTCTGAGTAGTTTTTTTTTTTTAAGTACTTTGAGCTACGGAAAGATACCCACACCCTCCCTTTTTCCTTCTTTTTGGATAAAACTTTCAAAGGCAATTTGTTTTTAAATATTCATAATATCAGAAAATATCAAACCTGCCAATGTGCCATCTCAAAGTACCTTTTAATATACCTATAATAAATAAAAAAAATAAACCAGCTTCTCTTTTATGTTTTATATTGTTTTTAAAACTAGAGATGCATTTAAGAAGCAATACAAGTAAATATTTTACTTAGTTAAAAACCTGTCTTTGACTTATACCAGTCTAACACCAACTGTTGATGCTATTTTAAGGAGTATGTATCTGATGGGTTATGGTTAGATAAGGATATGATTTCTAAATTCCTATGTCAAAAACAATTTTTTTGTTAATAAACACTAACTCTAGACAAAATATGTCCATGACTTCTTCTAATGTCTGTTACCTATGTAGTAATGTTACATAGCATATAGCAATAATATATGTTAGCTATATAGCTATAAGTAAGTATTTAATTGTTAGACAGTACTAATTTCTAAATGAATTTAATTTTCAGTTTGTGGTCAGCATTTGTTTTTATGCCATGTCAGAATAAATACATGTATGGTGTGTATGTCTAACCTACAAGTTCATAAAGGAGAAGTCTTGAACAAGTCTATATGTAAATCTCATCCCATTTTGATTGTCCTTCCAGTCCTAGCATACAGTGGCAGACCTCCTCATCTTCATGCTTCTGTTCTGTTTGTGTTATGGCAATCATTTTGAAAAAAATCAAAATTACTTTCTTAGGATTGAAAAAGACTTACTAGTAGTTGTTTGTGGGAAGCAAGTATTCACATGGACTAAAAAAATACAGTATTGGATATAGAAAATAACTTTAAAAAATGTTTGTGCTGATACTGGGGTTTGAATTTGGCCTGTATACTCCCTAAGCTTTTTCACTCAAGCCTGGCACTCTACCACTTGAGCCACACTTGCACTTCTGGCCTTTTTGCTGGTTAACTGGAGGAGTCTGGTCACAATTACCTGCATGTAACAAATTAAAAATTAGTTCAGATATAGATTATTTATGCCATTTACGATTTCATTTCAGTTATTGGAGCTCCAGTAGAAATTAAGTGGTGGCTATTGTAATTCATAGGTATACTTTTTAACAATTATCTATAGACATGCATTCCAAAATAAACACTCTGATTTTACTTAATATATAATAGAAGATTGGATGGAAATCGGAAGCACAGAGGAAAGCTTAGGTTATTAAGATATCCAGGGTAGAAATTTGCCATGGAAAAAGATTTAAAATAGAAGAAAGTTCTAAATCAAGCCATTTCTAGGAATAAACATCAAAAAATTAATATTGGAATACAGGTTGATCGCAATTTGTACTAAAAAGTTAGCTTGATATATAGAAATTAATCATATACTCTGAAAGAATAAATTTATTTCAGGGTTTCCCCTCTTTTCCTATCCTTTATGATATAAAAATTTAGTTTTAATTGAATTTACTCAATCATGATCAAAATTCTTATCTATTTTACATGCAGTTTACCTTATCACTAAATGTAAGTACTTGAGCTGTAAATATTACTAGTTACCAATGTGCCTTGAGTCAGCCTGTTAGTTTATTTCCTATTCTGTAGATATTAGAACACTTCCCAAGTGAATTTTCATTTAAATGAAAACGTAGTGTTGTAAACATTAGTCTTGTTGGATTGACAGTACTCTTCCAAAGTTCTATGAAAGCACTATAAGGAGCAATAAATGTCATCTTTTACACACATTTCAATGTTAAATTCTAGAAAGTAGGTGGAATGAACAAAAGCATTTATGTGGCTTGGTATCACATTAAAAATTAAAATTGTACACATTAAATATACTATTTAGTTTTCTAAATAATGTATAGTCCTATGTGGTATGTGTATTTATATATACATATATATGTACATACATATACATACATATGTGTGTGTGTGTGTGTGTGTATATATATTGTTGTTGTTTTAAGTAAATACTGAATGTTAAACTCGGGGCCTCTGGGTCTTGGGCTTGGTAGGCAGGCACTCGGGGCCTCTGGGTCTTGGGCTTGGTAGGCAGGCACTTTAACACTTTGAGCCACACTTCTAGCTCTTTGACTTTAGCTAATAGGGTCCTGTACTTCCTTTCCAGGCCTACCTGGACCGTGATCCTATTTCTGCTTCCTACATAGTTAGGATGACAAGCATGCAGCCAGTGAGCACCTGGCCCATTTTTAAAGTATTAATGTTTTTTAATAGGCTCACAGTGCCCACTGGGAGAAAAAGTAGCATTCTGATTATTGTACAACAACGTTTCTAAGAGTGAATAGCTACAAGCTGTGGCATGACATGAGTGAAGTTACAAAATGTAAAAGCCGCTGCTACTATTTCCTAAGTATTTATTAGCCATGTATTCCCTCTTGCATACAATATACTACACAGAAAATAATAAAAACATTCCTTGTACTTAATTGGGGAACTTTTAAACAGAAAATTCTCAAATTTTATAATTTAAAAGACGTACACTTGCTTTGTTTTTTATAATAGCGCTTCTATATTACAGATTTTTCATATAATAAAATTCTTAAATAGGATGAACAACACAATTACAATTATACTATAGTTTCACTCATACGTATTACTACACTCGAAATCTTTCATACTAAATAGTTCAGCATTATGACTTTCTTGCCCTTTCTTTTTATCTTGGTCCTGTTTCAGCAAAATTTAATACATTCTTCTATAGTTTTTCACATATTTAAAATACTGATATAAATTATACAAATTAAATTCCTTTATATTCTACAATTCTCTGTAAAACCATAAAGCATGAATACAGTTTCTCTCTACAAACATAGCAACATTTCTCCACATTTTGCACATGAAAAATTTAGGTCACTTAATCAAGTTCTGTTTTTTAAAAGTTTAAGACAGCAAATGATTGTTAAAATGTGCATTTTAACAAAGCAAAAACACTCAGAACTGACATTCAGCAGTCAGCAGTCATAAATTGGAATTAATGTTAACCAAAACATTAACCAATTACATAATTTCTAAAATGACAGATGCCATAACTTACATTGCTAAATACTCAGGACAACCAGATTCTCTAGTTCCTAACTGGGATTTTCCCTTGGCGATGTTTACCCCACTGACTGAACAATGTTGTACTTTGGGATCAGGCTGGTAGTTGGCTCATATGGTCTTTGTGATGTAGCCTCTGTAACAGCAGTAAAAGGTTAAGAACATTAATATGAACCGAATTGCCACATGGAAGACCCAGAAAATGCATGTTGCTTCTATACTTTATTAGATATTAAACCCATTTCAGAGAAAAAATGAGTTATAAATTTTATTTTTTAAGCAATGAGGAAAAACAGATGCCAGGGAAAGGCAACAAAACAGTAACAATTGAAATTATCTAAGGAAAAGTGAAAAGTGATTATTGTACCCAAAAGATAAGCTTTAAGAGATTCAAAGCTTGTTAGGAATATATCTAGTAACCAAAAAGTGTATTTTCTCAACAGTATACCTAATCTTTAGAAATACTGGTAAAAAGGTCAATAGGAAAAGTAAATTCAAATATTTTAGGAAACACAAATTGCATGTGGACATGGAACAAGGGGAAAGATTCTAACCCATAGCGTTTGAGGGAAAGGGGACAGGTTTTCTGAGTAGATGCATCCCATGGCAAGGAAGCTTTCTATTGATAACATTTAAGTGATGACAGATGTAATGGGTGTGTAGTGATTACAATTTTTGCAGTCTAGAAAGAGCTTCAAAACAGCAACTTTCCTTATATTTGATGAAAAGAAATGGGTACTTTTGTTGCCCAACATCTAAAGAAATTGAGTTGGATTTTTTTCCTCCATTTTCATAGCTGCATTTTGTAATTCCTGATGACACAAACCATTTCTTGAGTTATTTTTAATTTCAACATCACTGTTCCCTTATTTTGGGTAGTGTTTCTATATGTCCTTTACTTTGGAACTGCCAAAAGAAACTTCAGGCAGTGAGAAAGACAGCTTCATCAGAGTCCCGGTCCTTACCGCTATCTTCGCTTGGTGCACGCTCACCACCACTTGGAGACCGACAGCTCAAATCCTCCACCCCGGATTCTTGATCACTGTTCACTGACAGATCGGGATCTGAGCTTTTCAAATTGTCTTGAGTTAGAATGAGAGCTGAATCTTCATCCCCCTGTGAAGGGCTCCTGGATGGAAATGATTTCATGTTCCCACTGTAGTCCTGAGGTGTGTTGGCCAAGCTGTTATCTGAGGTAGAAAACCCTGAGTATTTGCTGGGCTCACTTTGCTTACTCTTTACTTTAGTGCCATTCAACTGGACTTTTTGAATCTTTTCCAGTCTCTAAAAAAGAAGTAATAATTTTAGGCAAATATTGATATTTCTTTAAGATTTATGATTATGTATAATGTTAAGGACACAGGAAGAAGCAGATGTAGGTTCAAACCTGGACTTTATGGATTAGTCAACCTCAACTGTTACCACATATAAATAGAATAGAATATTACACAATTTTTAAAAGTGGAGGAATGGATGTTTACTATATGTAAAAGTTAATTTTACTTTTTCACTTTTTCATGCATTCTAGTACTCCCCAATAATAGTAACCCTGACCAATTAGTACAACCCTAGCCAATTAGTACAACGAACTATGCCACAAACAGGGCCAAATGTCTGAAATGACCTACATTTGGGCTTTGGTTATCTGGTGTTCACCTGGCTGAGACTGTTGAGGCTATCCATTGGCTAAAAAGAAGAAATAGATGTTCCATATTTTATATGCCAGGTCTCAAGAAGCTTTCATAGAGCACTGCTTAAGAAATGAGCTTGGATAATAGATTAACAATTTCAAGAGGGTCTTACTTCTTCTAGGGCCTCTAGTTCTTCCTCCAGCTGTTGTGATTCCTCCTTTACTGCCATGAGGTAGTCTGTGACAGACTGTCGGGGCTGCATCCCTTTTTCAAAGCGGTTATACATTCCACTCCAAAACCTGGGGAGGAAGGTAGACATATATAGTTACCTTCTCAAGAATAGTCAAATGAATATTATAGGCTTGAAAAACCCATTTCTTAAGATAGTAATGTCAAGTAGATACACTCTTTTGGGGAAGTCTATAACTACTTTTAGGGAAGGATAAATTCTTGAAGACTATCTGTATAGATAATATTGAATTAGAAGGCATATGAAGCTGGCACTGCTGGCTCATGCCTCTAATCCTAACCACTCAGGGCTGAGATCTGGGGATTATGGTTTAAGCCATCCCAGGCAAGAAAGTTTGTGAGACACTTATCTCTAACCACCAAAAAGCCAGAAGTACAGCTGTGGCCCAAGTAGTAAAAAGGGTAAGGAGTGTGTGTGTGTTGCTTCAGCTCCATAGAGCAGCCTTTTAACCTTATGTATTTGGCTTTTACTTCATCACAACACCAAAAACTGACCTTTGTGAACAAAATAATTCTTCCCCTCTTTTCCTATATAGTAAGTAAAGCATACTGAATGCAAATAAGAAAAAATGGCACTGGGCTCATGCCTGTAATCCTAGCTATTCAGGAGGCTGAGATACGAGGATCACGGTTCAGAGCCAGCTGGGGCAGGAAAGTCCATGAGACTCTTATCTCCAATAAACCACCAGAAAACCGGAAGTGGTGCTGTGGCTCAAGTAGTATTGTAGAGTGCTCGCCTTGAGCTCAAGAGCTGAGGGACAGCGGTCAAGCCCAGAATTCAAGCCCCATGACTGACCAAAAGAAAAAAATGCATCATAGGGATATTCTCAGGCCTTCTTACTCTTAGTTATTTAGGAAGGCAAAGTTCTTCAGTAGCAGGCACTTAATGTTACCCAGTGCCTAGAACTGTGCCTGATCCTCAATAAAATGTGCTGTTATAAATAAGTTGGCTGCAACTGTAGTGTGTCTCAGTTCCTCTAAAACCTTTTTCATGAGCTATGAAAACTTTTTTTGTATTATAGACTAATCTATTATAGAGGTCTAGGGAAATAACAGTACCAAAATAATTAGGAACAATACCATCCTGAGAAATAAATTCTGCAAAGGAAAAATTGACACCAGGAGCTGGTAGAGAATAGGGAGGAATGTCATTTGTTTTTCTCTGTGTTGTCTTGCTGACCTCTGACTCATTTTTCCTATCATACAGGATTAACCATATAAGAATAATATATAGCACACATCTAGAATACACCTAGTAGGACCTGGAGTGGCCACTTTTGTCTCCCCATTCCACTGTGTACAATCTTAATTTTTTGCCCAAGAGGAACTGATTACATACTTGTACATAAAGTTGCATGGAGCTGTAGGGAGATGAAAACTTTCCTGAGTCTGACCATGATCAGTTCGAAATAGAGGATTCAGATAGTCAGCTCGGTTCTTCCAGAGGTGAGACCATAAGGAATATGTTCTTTCTTGAATTCTGTTATGAAGAAAATAATCCTGCAAATTATCAATCTGAATAGATGTATAATGTTAGAGCTGGAAAGAAACTAATCGTAGTTGACTGAACATAGAACATCCTATTCTGTAGGTTAGAAATTCAGTTTTTGTTGGGTTTTTGGTACAGCAGAAAAATGCTGTAGTAATCTCAACTTCATCTCCTCACTAACTATTCAAGTTGACAAGATGTTTACTTCTTTTGAGTATTTATTTTTTTAAAAACACATAAAAACAACAAACCTCTACAGTTTCTTAGGCTCTCCCCTACCAAATAGTTACTAAACACTTATTCCCAGATACTTTTCTAAGTGCTTCATTTGCTTCCTCTCATTTTGATCCTCACTGAATTTTTACACAGTATATCCATTTTCAGGAAAAGAAACTTAAGTAAGGGATGGAGACATTAATGATTCTCCCATAGCCCCATAGCTACTAAGTAGAAATTTCAACTAGAATTCAACATTAGTAGATGTAGTAGAATTAGCTGGTTATTTCAACAAATCATGAACTGTATAGAAAATACGGTGAGACTAAGGAATGCACTTTGTTTCTTTTAAGTCATTCCCATATATCAGGAGTCACACTTCATTCTTATACAGATGGTACTAAACTAGTGAAGCCTATTTTATTTGAACTGATAGTTTTCAAACTATATCTGATGCTGTGCAATCCACAAGATCATTCTGTGAAAAAAAAAACCTCAAAAAAAATCTCGTTTGTATTTCTTAAATCACTCAACTTACTTGGAATTTCAGTCTACATTGTCTCTACTTTTACCCTTGAATAATAAACTAACAATGACTTGAGTTGCAGGGCACGCATGGCAGTACACACCTTTAAGACCAGCCCTTGAGGCAAGAGGACTGTGAATTTGAAGACAGCCTGGGCTCCGAAGCAAGAACCTCAAACCAAGTAACAACAAAAAATCCTGGTGGCCTGAGTTTCAAATTTGCTTTTCCACTTACATTTACAATTTTGTCACACACAAAAAATAACCACCAGTGTCTGTTTTTTCCTTTTTAATGCAAAAACTACTTCCTTTAAATATAGAATATTTCCAATAAATGACAGTGTTCTGAGTCTCAACCTGGCAGAAATTGTGAGGGGAAAAATGAACCTATACATATCTCTGACATGTTGATGTCATTTATGCCACTTATGAAAATATTTTCAGGAACAAGAAAACAGCTTCAATAAGCCAGTGTAAATATGTGACTAAAGGAAAGATCCTTCCAAATTATGAAAAATTACCTGAAATTCTCAATGGTCAGAAACTAGATGAAAATTAAACACTAAAACACTTACTTGAGTTCTTGTCTCTCCTTCTGGCTATTACATAGGAAGTTTCCAAATTGGCAAGAATAAATGTGATGCTGAATGTGAATTAAAAACCTCTCATTGAACTCAAAGGCACAGGGAAATTGTTCCATTAATTGCCACACACACTCAATGAATTGGTCAATTACTGGAGAGATTTCTTTTGGGTCACCATCTAGATTTCCGTATCTACAAAACAAAGTATTCGGGATTTTTATAGTCAAATATTTTTTACAAATTAGAAAACTATAAATGCAAAAGTAATAAAAATCAACCCTAATTCCTAAGTAATTCTTAGAAACTCAGACGAATAAATGTAAAAAAATAATCTTAAATTCCAGTTTTAACACAAACTTAGTAATGAAGATTTGGGCACAAAAGAAAATTAATGCTAAGGATAAAATTCAAAGGACTTTACATGAATAAGGAAAATTTTAAGTTCAGTTATGTTGCTCTTTAACCATTTCCATGTTTGTTTTTTCTATGCTGTCTTCTACCTTAGAAATGTGAAATGTCTAGTACATAGTGGAACTCTCAAATTGGGAATAATAATGTAATCTTAATTGGGGACTTCTCTCCCTTCCCCCCCCCCCTTCCCCTTCCTCCTCCCCTCCTCCTGCCTCCTGGGGCTTGAACTCAGGGCCTAGGCACTGTCCTGAGCTTTTTGCTCAAGGCTAGCACTCTGCCATTTGAGCCACAGCTCCACATTTGACTTTTTGGTGCATAATTTGAGGTAAGAGTCTCAAACTTTCCTGCCTGGGCTGGCTTTGAATCATGTTCCTTAGATCTCAGCCTCCTGAGTGGTTAGGATTACAGGCATGAGTCACTGATACTGGGCTTTTACTTTTCTCATTTTTTTTTGAAATGGAATTATTAGCCTGGCATGGTGGCATAGGCTTCCAGGACTAACAGTAGTCTGAGGAAGGAGTGTCACACTCAAAGCAACAGAGTTTTAGATTTTTACCTGTGATTAAACTTATGGCCAAAGGAGATCCAGTCCTTTTCAATCAGGACCTACACAAGAAAGAATGTAAATGTCACAGAAGGAAGCAAATGGATGGGAATATGAAACCTAAAGCCTCCAGAGAACAGAAGTCAGTATCCTTAGATAAGCTGCAAATCATTAAGAATTATCCAGTGAAGTACAGGGAATGGCAAAGTTGAAGGTTATGAATGGGAAAATAAATGAGAATAGATTATGAAACTATAATATCCCTACCCACTGTGTGTTTCTCAATAACACGGCACTGTTCCTCTTGCTTCATATATTTATTGTGGGACAGGTGTTCTTATCCTTGCCATTTTAGAGAAAGGGAGACTGAAGCAGAAGATTGAATATTTTGCTAGAGATCGTGATACCTCAAAGCAGTGAATGCCACTTGCTAACCTAGGGGGATGTTGCAAACCCTATACCATAACCACCATATGATGCTGCCTCTGTATAAAGCAAAACCCCAACTTTTCAGTGAGAAATGGGGATGTTTTCTTTTAACCTTTAACTACATATTGTTTTCTAAAGTCATGGGATTTAGGAATATATTAAATAAAATATATTCCTATATTATAAAATAACATTCCTAGGATATAAATATATTTAATAATATATATTAGAAAAATATGGTTTTAGCCCTGCTTTAGATTTAGGATTACCAGTAAATTTAAAATCTGCATTTTAAAATACATAAGTATATGCAACAGGCCCATTAATACCACCAAAGCTCTAAAATAGCCCTTTGGCTTTCCCTAGAAATACACTGAAGTAGGTCCTGACTCTAAAGGCTGTGTGTGTGTGTGTGTGTGTGTGTGTACACGCACACATGCGAACACTGCAAATTCCAAGGTTAGATGTGAACAATGAGGATGGGTCAGTGGAAGGACAGAATGGTGCAACTAAGAACCCTTCACTTTCCAAAGGACAGACTGAAGCAGGAGGGTGACCTTCAAGTCTCAGGAACTTGTCAGAGGCAACTGGCAGTTCTTGGACACCTATTTTCCACCTGCACCCCTCCCCAAATAATACAGAAACTTATGGACAGCAAGTCTGCTTTTCTCTTGTCCAGGTGTCAGCTGAATATTACTTGCTAATCCCGCAGTAATAAGATCTCAGTAGGGCTCCTCGGCCCTCATTTTTCCCTAGCAAGGATTCAGCATTCACTGAAGGGCTTTCTACCAAACCATGGAAGCTCCTTCAGTCACAGTGATGAAACTGCTTCATGGAAACCACAGCTTTGCCACTTGAGGCAGCCATGGCCTCGGGAAGTCCAGGTCGCATTGTGGTGCACACCTAAAGGAAGAGGATGGACTCAGGATTTCAGCAAGACCATCGGAAAGGAAGAAAGGCAAGAAACAGAAACTTGGCAGTTGAAGTTTTTCTCCCCAGATCTATTTGCATGTAAAATATACAAAATTTTATTTCCAAATTACCTTTTATTGAGATTGAGACATGGCTCAAATAGTAGGACACTTGTTTAGCAAGCAGAAAACTCTTACTCTAGCACTGTCAAATCACATACTTGTTTTTGAAAAGTGTTTTCTGTTATATATTCACATATTACCTAAGTTTGAAATACTGCTGAGCAAGTTATAGATACATATCTATTAATACCACATATATCTATGTATATGTATATCGTTATTTAGTAAGGCACTAGTGGCTCACACCTACAGTCCTAGCTATTTGGGAAGCTGAGTTCAGGAGGACTGCAGTTAAATATCAGCCTAGGCAGAGGAGTTCATGAGACCCCTTTTCAACCATCAGCTGGGGCATGTGCTTGCCCTTCCAGCTATGCAAGAAGCTAAGATTGGGAAGATCAGGGTTCCAGGACAGCCTGGGCAGAAAAGGCTCCATCTCAATGGAAGAAGCTGGGCATCATGGCAAACGCATGTCATCCCAGCTATGTTGAGAAGCCTAAAGTAGATAGATTGTAATCTAAGCACATGCTGAGGAAGAAGTAAGATCTTATGTCAAAAATAACTAGTGCAAAAAAGGGCTGGGGGCCTACCTCAGCAGTAATAGACCACCAGAAAACTGGAAGTGGCGCTGTAGCTCAAGTGGTAGAGCACTAGCTTTGAGCTGAAGAGCGCAGGGACAGCACTCAGGCCCAGAGTTCAAGCCCCACGACAGACAGAAAAAAAAGAAAAAGAGATGAATGCAAAACCGTGCTTTCAAACCCCTGTATCTCAAAACAAGCACTATTTTCTAAACAACTAAATATATTTTATGTTCACCCCCCCAAACTTGCATGGAGTAGCACTGTGAATTGGGTTTAATATCCCATATATTTCCCTCTTTTTTACCTTTTCTCCAATTGATCTTGTTGATTTACTAAGAGAAAAATAATGTTGATTAGGAAGAAAAAAAAAATGCAGCAGAACATTTCTAAATGCCAGTCAGAGCCTCACATCTCTCCCTGGTAAAGCCCCCAGCCAGCCACACTCACCATGAAGCCCTTCAGTGTTCGGTAGTGAGGGTCTAGAAGCAGGCTGGCCACAGAGCACACCTGAGCAGTCCTGTCCCAGCCATCGGAACAGTGAACCAGCACACTGGCCCCTTCCTCTGAAACGGCCTAAAACACGCCCAATGGCAAAGATACAAAGAATGAATATAAGAAGGAAAAATCGTCAGGAGCAGGGGTGGTTACAGACGTACACAAAACAGCCTTCATTTTTTAAAACCTTATTTGGAAGAACTTGAAGAATTTACAAAACTACACATGAGAAAATACAATGAGCCCCCATCTACTTCCCTCCCTCCTCCTGCCTATTTAGAAGTAATCCCCAGCATCATAATCTTTCACTTATAAATATTATAGAATATGTCTCTTAAAAAAACAAATCCCTTTAAAAACCATCCATAATATCATTGTAAGTTAAAAATCAACAAAAATTCCTTTATCCTTTTTTTTTGTTGGTTGGTCGTGGGGCTTGAACACCGCTTGGGCACTGTCCCTCAGCTCTTTAGCTCAATGTGAGAACTCTACCACTTGAGCCACAGTGCCACTTAACATTTTTTTAAATTTAGCATTTACACCTTCATTAAAGCAGAGCCAATGGGTGGCTTTGTGCTAGTTGAAGCTTTTCTTTTCCTCCTGTTATATCCAGTAGAAGATTTACCAAATGAAAGTTTGTTTCCTGTGCAAACGTATGGCACATGGCCTCCCTCCTGCTACCCTTTTTCTTCCCCACCAGTTTTCACATTAAGTCTTACTGAATTTCTGGGGTTGCTACTGGCCCCTACCATTTCCAAAAAGGACCCCAACACTTTTTTATTATAAAACTGTGATATTACAGATTCAGGGATAAAGGTCAAGTAGTAATAGATCTAGGAAAAACAGAAGGAAGAGAAACGTAAAATCCCTACAAGAAAATTTACTAAGAAGGAATTTCTAGTATAAAACTACATATGACTCTGAGGTTACCACTTCTGGCAGAAAACATACATTGGAAAACATACTGGAAATTTCATACTAGCATTTATCACCACCTAAAATTCTATTTTTATTTGTATATTCCTTTTTAAAACATTGTTGTGGCCCACAGAAAAGCTGTACAGCCAACTCCCTACTCAGAGGGGCCCTGCTGAGTATAGGTAGGCTCTGCGGAGAGGATCTTTGGCAGTCAGATTATGTTGCTGGTGTTAGATTCTTCTGAGATCACGTACCTTTGCAATGAAGATGCCCGCATCCATAATGGCTTTAATGTGCCTCAACCAACCAGAGTTCTCTAGGCCCCACAGAAAATTGCTCATGGAGGGAGACTTTAGCTCACACACTGAAACATAAATTGTGTCGTAAAAGTGAAATTACAGCAATCATTTTATATTATGATATGGTATTTCACAGGCAGTTTGTTAATAATGGTTTTTTGTTGTAGAAACTGCCTGGAATACTTAGGTCAAAATAAATATCTAACTTAACTTGATCCTACTGAGAGTCTTATCTCCAAAGTTTAAATTCCTAACATTAATGGGAATGTTTCATTCTTACTATAGTGATATCTAGCACAGAACATCCATTTACCTTTCTGGCAATGATACCACAGGTAAGCACCTGAAGAACCCTTGAATTTCTCTAGTGCAATGTAAGAAAGTTCAAAGTTTGGCGCTTTTTTTTTTTTTTTTTTTGGTGTGTGTGTGGTGCCAGTCCTAAAACTTGAACTCAGGGCCTAGACACTGTCTCTAAGCTTATATGCTCAAGACTCTACCACTTGAACCACAGCTCCACTTCCTGCTTTATTTGGTAGTTAATTACAGATCATGTCTCACAGACATTTCCTTTCCAGGCTGGCTTCAAACCATGTTCCTCAGATCTCTGCCTCCTGAGAAGCTAGGATTACAAGTATGAGCCACTGGTGCTTGGCTAGTCTGGCTTGTTTAACGGGAGAAATCTTGTAGACATTTTTGCCTTTTCTGGCTCCAAACCACAATCATCGAATCTCAGCCTTCTCAGTAGATAATATTACAGGCGTGAGCCAGTGGTGCCCAGCTTCATGAGTAGCTTTTTATACTGACTGCCTGACAGGGTTTGGATATTATATTAAATAAACCATGTTATTAAAATTAACCCACTCATCTCCTTTTACTTTTGAAATGTAGCCAACAGAAAATGTAACATAGGCATGTATGAAAATGAACACTGAAACCTGTTATAGTTCTTTTAGAAGGGGGTTGGAGGTTGGTAGAGGGTGATAAAGAGTGTGTTCTTGATCAGGACATATTGTAGGCCTAAATGAGAATGTCACCATGAAGTCTTACCGTTGTAGAACTAATGTATGCTAATAAAAACAACAGAAAAAATAACTTATCAATGAAAAAAAATAAAATTACAAAACCATGCTTCTCACTTGGTGAAGTTACTCAAGGAAGTTTAGTTAGAAGTAAACGCATTGCACATGGACCTCTAAAATAAAGGGTGAAACTCTGCCTTCCCTCGCACATGTCATCTCCTGGGATAATGCGCTTTGGTAACACTCAAGCTGTGGTAAAGGGTGTGCTTTTCTTTTGTACAGTAGGAAAATGGAAATTAGGAAAGGGAGGGGAGAGAAAAGAGCTGGCTTAAAGCCTGGGACCCATGTTTTTAGGAAGGACATACAGAAATTGATGATCCAGAAGGCAATTCTCAGCAGTGTGGCCACAGCACACCTCAGCAAGTTTCCGATGAGCTCAGGGGAGCTCAGACATAGTATGCTGACTGATAGCTGATCTGGATGTAAAGGCCAGATGTCAGCCAATAGCGACAAAGGAGCAAGCCAGCCCGCCCTGCCCCAGCACAGCATTCCTGTCCTCTGGTAACAGCTACCCAGCAATACCAGACAAGCCCTCCAGGTGGCAGGCTTGCTTCTGCCCATGGATGCTGCCCAGATCCCAGTGCGCTTCCTGCATCCCTATCACTCCCTCTCTTACCATGACCTGAAGTGTACAACTTAATCCTAAAATATACACATTCCACTTTGTGAAGGGGAGGATTCAACTGATTCCTTTAAACCTTCCACAGGCGTTCTCCTCTCCCCCTCCCTCCCTCCTTTTCCCCCCCTCCTTGGCACTAAACAGGCCAAACTTTCAGGCTGGTTAGCATTCTTGTAGACTTTTATTGTTTTTTTTAAGTCTAAGGTTCCTGGGAATATCTTGGCATCCAAACTCTGAAGCTCAGCCCAAGAACGAGATCCTTTTCACAATCTCTTCCCAAGAAGGCACAGAAATGGTCAGTTGAAAAGTTGCAGCTGAGCACCTGGAATCCTAGCTACTCAGGAGTCTGAGGTTTGAGGATCAAAGCTCAAAGCCAGACTGGGCAGGAAAGTCAATGAGACTCTTAGCTCCAATAAATTACTCAGAAAAAGCAGAAGTCGTGCTGTGGCTCAAGTGGTAGAGCACTAACCTTGAGCACAGAGAAGCCCAGAGACAGAGCCCAGTCCCCCAGTTCAAGCCCCAGGACTGGCAAAAAAAAAAATAAATTGTGCCAAGGGAAAGAGAGCTATGGATGGTTCTGGACCAGGCTCTAAAATGTGCTGGAGAGGGAATGCCCCAAAGCTCCCTTGCTTCACAGGATGGGCTGCCTGGCTCTTACCACATCAACTCCTTCCTTCCCACACGAAGAACAGCTGCTTGTATAAGCTTTCTGTGTGCAGGAACACTACAACTGCCCAGTGTGCCTGGTAAACTAACCTCACTGGGTTTTCAGGCAAGGTGACAACTGGGAGGGTGGCTAATGGTCAGTGGCTATGTTCAAGGCAAACGGCTCCACAGATGATTAACGCATCTGGCAGACGGGGTTACACTGGAGACTGAAACAATTAGTGTCCAGGCTTTTAAATATAAAACTGTTGGGTTTGTTTGGATAAACTCAGGATAAGGCAGGAATACTGATTTGCTCATTCTTGTTGCCAAACCCAAACCAATATTTACAAACCATTTTTGCTGAGCAAAGTTCATTTCTGATGACCTCACAGGCATATGCCGCAAACTACAGAGAACTGCACTTACTAGCCAGGCGGTGAGTGCTGGGTCTAATGACATTTGTTTTATATAACAGTGTAGCTATAGTCCCTACACATATAGAAACCATCCTCAAAAACAATTTTTTTAAGAAGCTACGTGATTTTGGAACATGAGAAATGTGAAAGTGACAACAATAGAAGAGGCTCATCTAGTCCTCCTCCGGCTTTTTCCTACATCAATCTCATTTTTTTCCCTATGCTGCTAACATGAGGTCAGACAGGGCACAAAGCAAAGGGTTCATTTGAACTCCATAAGAGTTCAAATGACCCTAAGCCCTAAAGATGAAGTATACATGACCTGCCTGAGTTTAATGTTTGAGTTATTTTTTCCAAATGAGACAAGTAGCCGAGATCAATGAGATAATTCCTAAAGAACTAGCAAAATTATAAACACTTCACCTCATTGTACATCCTAGCAAATGAAGCCATTCAGAGGAGATTGCAGAATGGAAATGTTTAGTGAAGTCTGATAGTAGTCTCCCTCTTTCTCTTAAAGTCTACCTGGTGACACAAATTAATCTCTATGTCCTGCAGGGAACTATATCCCCCTATTTAGATCAGTGATGCTCTCCTTACTACCCTACTTATATGTGAGGTTCTCCACACCAAAAGACTAGAAGACCTTAGCTGTGCACAGTTGCTTATGCCTTTAATCTCAGGTATAGAAGAAATTGTGAGTTCAGTCGAGCCAAGGCAAAAAGTGAGATTCTTATCCGAAAACTAAGTAGGACTGAGCACTGGTGGCTCATGTCTCTAATCCTAGCTGCTCAGAGGCTCAGAGGATCTCAGTTTGAAGCCAGCCCTAGCTGGTGGTTAATTGGTGGTTAATCTCTGGTGGTTAATCTCCAATTAACCACCAAAAAACTGGAAGTGGCACTGTGGCTCAAAGTGGTAGAATGGTAGCCTTTAATGAAAAAGCTCAGGGATAGCACCCAGGACCTGAGTTAAAGCCCCAACAGCGTGCCCACTCACATACACATACATACACATACACACACACACACACACACACACACACGAACCCAGGCCCTGAGTTAAAGCCCCAACAGCGTGCCCACTCACATACACATACATACACATACACACACACACACACACACACGAACCCAGGCCCTGAGTTAAAGCCCCAACAGCGTGCACGCGCACATACATACACACACACACACACACACACACACACACACGAAACCTAAAGTTGTGGCTAGAGCTCAAGTGGTAGAGTATTTGCCTAGCATACATGAGGTTCTGAGTTCAAATCCCAGAACCACACACACACACAGATTTGTCAGAACATTCCTAACACTGGTCACAATGATATTTTGTGAATTCTCTCTATATATAATTAATGTCATGAAAGTCATTTCTATTTACCTATGTCTTCTATTGAAAGAATATAATACAAAATGGTGAGATATAATCAAGCCTCAATTGTGTACACCTGTGTTGTAGTGCTTGCATTTACACAGCAGCCAATATACATACATCAGTATGTTCATGTCTGTATAACTAGCTTCTGATAAATGAGTATGTGTATAAGCAAATGTCAACATCCACACATTCTTGAACACTAAAAATTATCCTAAAGAAAATCAAAGAGCAGGTTTCCATGAAGAATTCCTAATTAGCTTTGTATCTAAAGACAAATTCACAATATGCAGTGGTAACATGTGCTCTCTAGGCTGAACTGGTATCGAGAACAAGATGAATTGTACAAAAGAACATTGAATGATTCCAGAAATACCACACTGTTTTTAGTTTTAAACAAGGGTGAACGTGAAATTTTTCACTTGCATTTATGGAGTTACTAGAGCAAGTGTAAGGGGCTGGAGATGGAGCCCCATGGTAGGGTACTTGATTAAAGCTCCGAGTCCCATCCTCTCCAGCACCATCAGAAAGTAAACTTCAACACATGGCAAGTCTAAACATACCTTACATGATTATTGTTTCAAGTTACTGCTTCCCTTTAAATTATATATATATATATATACATACATAAATAAATACATATACATACAGTATACTCTCTGGAATTTTCTTCATATATAAGTATGGATGTCACTATGAACATTAAATACATTCACCGAAGTGGAAACAAGAAGCCTATTGGACAGCAGTTGCTTGGTTTTTAGTTAAATGAATAAGTCAATGATAACAGCTATATACAACTACACAATAAAACAGCAAGCAGTATTCATCTAAGATTCCTGCGGAATAAAGACACAAAACTGGAAGTGGAGAGAAAGATGGCATGCTGATTGAAAAAAGTCTTGCCACACCGTTCCAAGCAGGGCCACACAAAGAAGAATCTTCATGCAGCACGACCTCATCAAGTTGAGATATGGACATAGCTCATGTACCCAACTCTACCTTCCTCCCACTGATTCTCTCCCAGCAACAAGGATGGGTAAAAGGTGATAGCTTCACTTCTGATTATAACAATGTCCTCAGTCTTGAAAAATGCCTATCCAGAGCTCCTCAATCAACCAGCTTAGTAGCAAAGAAAATTACAGGGTGTTCTTTAATTAGTTAAGGGGAAAAGCACTATCTATATAGTCTAAAAGAAAACCACTATAACACTTAATTCATTACGATATTGCTACATAATTGAAAGGCATCACTTTATCTCCTTAGTTGTTATATTTGCCCCCAAAATAGTTTGGTTTCAGACAGGCACTGGTGGCTCATGCCTATAATCTAGCTTCTCGGGAGATTGAAATGTGAGGATCACAGTTCGAAGCCATCCCAGAGAGGATCTGTGAGACTCTCATCTCCAACTAACCACAAAAAGCCAGAAGTAGAGCTATGATTCAAGTGATACAGCACCACAAGCCTTGTACACAAAGAAAAGCTCAAGGACAGTACCAAGGGCCAGAGTTCAAGGTCCAGGGCTGACAAGAAAAAAAAAGTTTGGTTTAATACTTACAAATCTAAGTGTAAATTAAATGAGCTATATGAAAGGATCTTTATAGGATATGAACCTGCTCCACAGATAAGAGCTGTTTGAAGGCAGAATGCAAATAACTTTACTTCTAGTATTCAGAACCTATTCGGATAATGTCTGTAACAGGTGGGTTAGCAGAACTGGAGAAATTAGGAGTAATGGTCAAAACATGCTGTTCTGGCCTACCAGGTGTCCAGCCAGCCGCACAGACCTTCTAATCTCAATGCCAAGGACAGCGGTGCGAAGACACCGATTGCATCACCTCATTAGCTGAGCCTCCACAAGTGGTTTATAATTTACTCAGAAAAAACAGACAGTCAAACATTGGTCAAGTCTCCTGAAAGGCCTCCAGAAAGCTGTCCTTGCTTGCAGCTGGAAAAGTTATGCCGAGGTACCACGATCCCTTGTCAAACAGAGAGCTGCCCTCCAAAACATGTTCAGCTTTCTTGTCCCTTAGAAAACGTGGTGAATCAGATCATATTGATAAAGGTTGAGAGGTTAAGTAAATACCAGTTTAACAACTAAAGTCAAATGTATAAGTTAGAAACATTCCCAGGAGCAACTTTTTGCATAAAAGAAAATTCATGTTCTCAGAAGTCATCTTATGAAATTTCAAAATGAAGTTTATCAATGTAAAGGTTTTCTAATGTTTATAACCGTAAACACTTCTCATACTAAAGCTAGACTACCTTTTCAATAACAGTACCAAGCTAGCTCAGTTTTTCCACATGCAAGAAGCACAGTTCATAAGAAAGACAGACAGGTCATGGAAATCTCTAGAAGCTCAGGAAGCCCTAATAGTCATGCCCATAGTATTGTCACAGCGAATAAGAGACAGAAAACTATTCATCCAAGTACAATGGAGATAACTGGGGGTGCGATTTATTTTTTTTCAGATGCAGGAATAGATTTCTTCTAACATTTAAATCCTTTTTTTCCCCAGTGCTAGTGATCGAATTCAGTGTCTTTTGTATGTGAGTAGAGTGCTTTACTAATAAGCTACAACCCCAGGCCTTGAAGGTTCGGTTTTAAAGTGCTTACAGTCAGGATATCAAATATCATAGCTACAAAGGCTCACATAAATTATTAATCTAATTCTCTCATTTTACATCAGGTAAGAGAGTAGCAAAGAAATTAACTGACGTGTTCAAATTTTCATAACTGAGATAAACCAAGAAGTCCAGTAGAGAATGAAATTTAGGCTTTTCTGTGACACTCGAGTTTTTCCAGCCTCATTATTAGATTCTCAACATACCCTATTCCTCTGACTGAACAGAGAACGGAATAAGTACTGCAAGCAAATGTGTATCCCAAGAAAAAGAAGTCAGCTCTTTCGCTGTCCCTCTTCAAGCCAGACTCCACATTCCCCACCAGGACAGCCCACTCCACTAGCACTCATCTCCGTATTTTCCCCAAAAGTATACACACAGCATTTACAGGCACGGCACAAACCTATGGGATTCTGTATCCTCCTCTTTCTCTTCTCAGTTGCTATTGGAGACAGAAATTGTAGACTGTAGCAATAGATTCCTCAAGAGGACCCTAAGCTTAAGATGCAAACTATCTGCTTGTGGTGATTCAAACAGCTCTTCTATTTCATGTGCTATCTTTTAAAATTTCCTATCTGAATGAGCACCTGCCTATGAGAATATGTCTTACAGTGTCCGTTGCTCTGGGTGGTAGAGCTGGGGCTGAAGCATGCAGTAGTTGCAGTAGTTACTATTGTTTTGAAATGAGGATCAAGACCTTCAATACCCTCCTTTATAAAGGTCACTCCCCAACTTGCAGCTACAGTTTATGAACCTGACACAAGAACATGGTGTTATTGCTTTCAATGTAGAACTGAGTATGGGCTACACTAACATTATGATCCCTATGTACTTTTATCTTAGATGGTAAGCACCACTGGACAGTATGTGACTGTGAGCAACCAAATGGCAAAACTACTTGATGATAATATTGAAAGAAGAGAAAGGCTCTTAAATGTTTAAAGAATCACTGTGATATATTTTCACCAACTTTTCACATCTATGTAATGCCAGAAAAAAATGAAACAAACCATTCTGAAATCAGATTATCTGCTTTTGTGTTGGCATCACAATTTAACTGTGGTTTTTTTTAATGTTCTGCATTAAGGAAATGGTTTACCTTCCAGCATTTTCTGCAGACTGCTCCTCATGACATGAATGTTCTCTATCCCGATAAACTGAAACTTGATATTGGAATAATTGTCTTCATTCTCATAGCCTTTCCCTGCAGCACGGTTTGCCATTGCATTAAGCTACAGTGGTCAGCAAAACAAAACAGTCACCAATTAAACTCAGGACATGAAGCAATCACAGCATTTCACGAATATTCATAAATACATACAAAATGATATGTAGAAACAGAATGTGATTTAAATCATTGGGGCACTATATTGAGTTGTGTATTTTCGTGCACTTAAGCTGAGCTTAGATTCAACAGCATGAAATTGTTAGCAAGGGTTAACGTTTTTTGAGCTAAGAAGCATTCCATAGAACAGACTCTACGGGAGATACCTGTGTTCTTGTGGAATTCAATGTGGAATTCTTTGACAGAGCCAACTTGTTCCACTTTAATACCACACATGACAACCTACAGGATGGCAGGAGAGCATCAATATAATCAATTTGGATATCTAGTAGAGTATGATATTACCAACGAACATGTTGCCAAACATGTTCATTTGTATCATTCTAATTTGCCTGTAAGGATCCCTCAGATACATAATTAAACCTTGAGCACAAATCACTGAATACAATCAAGAAAAAGAAGGCATATATTCAATCCCTAGGGACATTATCCTCTAGCCATGTTATTTAAATCTAGACACTAAATAAGGCTTTTTAGAAAATCACTTTCATTACCATAATTTTGCATGAGATATTGCAAGTTTCTTGGTGAAAATTGAGTTCAATGATAATGGAGTATGGAGAAACTTATTAAGCTTGAATTCTGTCCTAACTCTGTATAGCAAAAGTCTCTGTATAGAAAGAGCTGAGACATACAAAGATGTATGCCTGGCAACTCTCCACTCATGCTTGACTTAGCATGTTAACAAACCTATGAACAGTTTCACTGCTTATGCTTATTACCCCCAAGCCACAAAAAGGAAGCCACAAAGGATCCTAGCCAAAGAACCTATGCCAGGTTCTCACTATCAGAAAAAAAATGACCAATAGTTTTAATGATCATCTTTAAGTAGGTGTACAAAGTAATTTCTATTCAACACGTCAACTGATATGAGTACGATGCATCTTGACGCGTGTCAGCCCTTCCATCACTTCCCTTCTCATCTATTGCAGCCCCATCCATCCTCCGAAATTACCAGGTCTCATTTTCACTTCTATACATTAAAGTACTATGATTGAAAAATAACCCACGTTAAGGGCAAAATGTTAAGCAGTACTTTTCAAAATGCTAAGTGAAAAAAAGCTAAATTAAAACAAAAACATGTACATCTTTGAGTTAAGCTTATCTAATGGTAAGAATCTAACAAAATTAAAATGATCAGCACATAAACACAGATGTGTAAGTATCTAACATTTACTGTGATATTTTTATAATAAAGTATTGAAAACTCATGACTATCAATAAGGCAAGGCTGGATGAATTAAAGCAAATTCAAGCCCTGGATCAGGCACCAAGAAGAACATTGATCACATGTCTACGTATGTATGTGGGGGGGATTGTATTTCTGTGCTTAATGAACATGATAAAATATAGGTTTATTCAAAAATGAATGTTATATGTATGCCATAGCATTTTAAAAAATGGATGTTTATTAAGCACAGTAAGACTATAGACAGCTATATCAATTTGGAAACAGTAATTGAAGTAACAGAAATAAAATGTATCAGAAGTGACAAATAAAACAGCAGAAGGAAAGCCCGTGCCACACAGGGCCTTGCTCCAAGTGACTTCGGCTGGACGACAGCAGCCCCTCAGGACATTCTTCCTCATCTAAAAAGGAAGGTCGCCTCCTTCTAAGCAGGCCACAAGAACAACAGCTGTAGCCTGAATCAAGAGAAAAAAAAAAACTATCCTAGAAATAACTTATGTTCTTTCTTTTATGAATTTAACTATTTTGGAGGGAAACTTTGTTTCAAAAATTACAGATAGCCAGGCACTGGTGGCTTACTCCTGTAATCCTAGCTATTCAGGAGGCTGAGATTTGAGGATTATAGTTTGAAGCCAGCTCGGGCAAGAAAAGTCTGAGACTCTTATCTTCAATGAAGTACTCAGAAAAAGCTGGAAGGGCGCTGTGGCTCAAGGGGTAGAATGCTCGAGCAAAAGGAGCTCAAGGACGGTACCCAGGCCCAGAGTTCAAGTTCTAGCATCAGGAAAAAATTACCAGTAGACATTATTCCTTTGGAATTATGTATTATAAAAGATCACTGCTTTTCATAATTATTTTTCCAAGCTGTTGGTTAATCCTTTCCAACAAAGGTCATAAAATAAAACAAATTAACAATATATGTTCAAGTTGTTTGTTTGTCTTTGTTGGTCCTGGGGCTTGAACTCATGACCTGGGCACTGTCTTCAAGCTTTTTTCCCTCTAGGCTAGCCTTCTATCACTTTGAGCCAAAGCCACAGTGTCACTTCCAGTTTTCTGGTGGTTAATTGGAGATTAGAGTCTCATAGACTCTCCTGCCTGGGACTGGCTTTGAATCATGATCCTCAGAGCTCAGCCTCCTGACTAGGTAGGATCATAGGCATGTACCACCAGTGCTCCAGCTATTCAAGTATTTTTAAGAAGCTCACATTTATTTAGCTTGAATAATTTAAGTGTACTCATCACATATCTTCATACCCCTCAAAAATGGCTAACAAATTAAAGAACAAAATATTACTTTTTTAATTATTATAATGTTAATATATAATAAAGATTTTTGTCCACATTTTAAAATAGTTGATTAGCTACCATCAGAGAACTAACGGATCAACAGTATTCCTTGAGAGGCAATGTGTACTTCACATAATGAGCAGAAGGTGGCAATATTTCATCTATCATCCAAAGTGCAAGTTTTCAGGAGTGCCACCTATTTTACAGTCTCATGATTATGTGGCAAAAGCTGAACTTTCAAAGCAGGAAGCATAGTTCTATAATTAATATTCAAAGAGTTGTTTTCCTAGACTTATTATACATAAATAAAGATATAGTATCCTTTCCACAAACAAATCACTACTAGCAAGTCTAATCTGGTCCCTTAGACAGAGAATTCCATTTTACAACCAAAGAAAAAGTTATTCACTTCAGCCTAAAAAATCCCTAAGTAGAGGTAAGTACATTCCAGTTTCCATTTGTATTTTTAAGTAGGAGCTCCAAAAATATCCTATTGTCTAATACAAGATCACTTTGATAAAAAAAAAGATCACTTTGCTATTTAATATCAGCCTCTTTGGCTAGACAGAAACTCATGAAAGAACCAAAAAGAACTGTCATTTCTCAGTGAACAGGGACTATGTACCAGGCACTGGATGGAATAAAAGATGCATGATGAGCTGTTTCTATTGTCCTAACTTCATAGTAGAATATGGAAGGAAGGCATATGGTGTCAATTAATAGCAGACAATTCCTATCAGGACTGGATGTGATATGAAAGAAGAGTAGCAGTGGCAATAGCTGGAATCTACAGCAACTCTGACCTAAGAGACTGGGGTGATGGTTCATGATAAAAATGAATACCTGGGCTAGACTTTAAGCATCAGGGAGAATGAAGAACGAACTGGAGGGCCTGCTAAATGAAGCAGTAAGAAGAGATGGAAGGACAAGATGAAAAGACAAGTCAGTATCAGTGAGTCAAGTAAAGCAGGTTCATACGGCAGAGCAGTAAGAGCTGTAAGAAAGCAACCGGAAAGCAGTAAACATCTTCTATAGACAGCTAAGAAATTTAGACTTGATCTGTGGTAGTTGAGAACTACTAGACAGAGAATATTCAATTGGAAAATTTGAGCCTGCTCTGGAGTCAATAATATTGAAAATCCATCAAAATGATAGAGACAGGTAGATATTTAAAAAGTTATGGCCATAGTCCAACACTTCATTTTTGGCCAAGCCCCTACTTGCCCAGAAAAGGCTCTCAAGGGAGATTTATTGACAGCTGGCCAATTGGATAAATAACAGAAGTGAGCGTTGAGCAGGCTAAAGCTGCAAAGAAACAGATTAATTCCCCTAACCTTGAGTCAATTAAATCTGACAATTCAACCTGCTCCCTGTCATAGATTTGAAGTTTAAGATTTCACCTGTTAGGTCAAGGTTAGTGGGTAAGATGAATAAAAGGAAGGAAGAGGATGTGTGGATGTAATCCTAATATTCAATGCATATACTATAAAATTAGGAAAATTGAGGAATGGGATGAGGTTGGGAGAAATAGGGGAAAGTGATTTTTAAAAAGGGGTGATATTCATCAAGGTACATTATACTAGTAAACTGACATGTTGACTGGTAACCCCTTTGTACAACTACTTAAAAATAATACACAGATAATTTTTAAAATATTTCACTAGTTAAATTTTACACTTGAACTGTGAGAGCCTGACTTGATAAAAGAAAGCTAGAAGGCTGAAGTTGACCTTTGTGCAGAAGGAGGTCTTGGCCAGCCATACCCTAAAACAAGTTGTCAAACAGTCCTTTTCTCTCCCCATTTACTTGTTAAACCAAGAGCCTTAATTTGTGAAAATATAAGCTGACTTTAGCAGGGCATCAGTGACTCACGCCTGTAATCCTAGCTACTCAGGAGGCTGAGATCTGAGGATCACAGTTCAAAGCCAGCCTGGGCAGGAAAGTCAGTGAGACTCTTTGTCTCCAATAAACCACTAGAAAACCAGAAGTGGCACTGTGGCTCAAGCAGTAGCGCGCTCGCCTTGAGCTGAAGAGTGCAGAGACAGCGCTCAAGCCCAGAGTTCAAGCCCCACGACTGACAAAAAAAAAAAAAAAAAGATGACTTCATCCCTAGCAAAGACTGTCTATAAGTGAGCTGATCAGAATCTTCCTTTCCTATCCTTTGCCATTGGGCAGATTTAGTAGCTTTAGGATCCTGTTCAGATGGGAAATCTCCATTCTGTTTAATTTAAAATTTCAACCTATATATGATGCAAAATGATCTCTTGCCCATTACAGTGTTTAAGACCGTGAGTGCTTTGTTCAGGGACTTCTTCCATTCTCTCTTTCTCCAAGGCTCATCTGTGTATACAGTGAGGAGGGACAGAAGAGAAAGAAGGGAAGGTAAATAGTTCTTTGCAAAACTAGACAAAGTA